TGATTAAGGTCCCTAACTTGATGGATTATGTCCTGCCGGCTTTTGGAGAAGTTTGATTCTATGGATGCTACTCAAGGAGTCAGACAGTACTATGGCTATTGATTGTGTAGATTGGGCCAGTGAAAAGGTGTTGGGCCGCTGACATAGTACATGGTTAGATACCGATGTTGCCAAGGATGGAGAGTCTGGCAGTTAACAGCTTGTAATCGTTCGGATGGAACAGAAACCGGGGTTCCGTTTATATATTGGCCTGCACCTAAAATAACCATATCAATTGGAATTCGAAATAAGAGTAGGCTTTTGAACCGCTCTCCGGTCAAAACTTCCCTCGCTGTCTGACGTACGCCTGTCATTAGCCAGGCTGATGCAGAAAAGTTAGACGTACATTTTATGACTGTGACTGACTGTCAGACTGTGTATATATTGTAGTACAAAGTGACGCATGGGTAAAAGAAATTACTCTAATTGGAGCATATTCCCCGGTGGTCGCCATAACCACAATCTACGTCAGTCACCATAGGCGTACGAGTTAGGAGGGCAGGGGGTCAGCTGCCCCCCTAACTTTCGGGCAAGCTGACTTTTCGGGCATAAGGGTAAAGTGAATAAAAAATTTATTTCATCTACTTGGCAAAATACAGTGCCCGAAATCTAATAAAACACTAATTTTACGGGCTGGAATAGCAGTAAAACGCGTTTGCGGCCGTCAAATATTCCAAAATTTTTCTTGGGGGGTCCTTACAAGGTCAGCTCCGCTTCTTCACCTCTCGAGCCTTAATAAAACACTCATTTTACTTAGCTTTTAATTGAATACCACAAATTTGTACTGAGTTAACTATGGATTAAAACATTTTGTCTGGAGCCACTCTACTTTGTGCGATATTTTTCGGGCATCGATTATTATTTGTGAATGCAGCTGCAACAGTCTGATTGGATGGTTGGAATTCAGAATGGGATTTGAGTTACAAAACCATTGGATACTTTTGGAGTTGCTTACACGGGCTAGAATAGCAGAAAACGCATATGCGGTGGTTAAATTTTCAAAATTTTCTCCGTGAGCCTGAGGCCCCCATACCCCGCAACGATTGATTGGTTGTTTGGAATTCGGGGCAGCCAGGTGGGCTATATTGGACCAAATTGAAGTTCCGTCTTCCTGGACTGTAAAAGATTGATCTTTTGATTGGAATTCGAGTCAGCCATCTTAATTAGGCTATAATAGACCACTTTGAAGTTGCTCTGTTCACGGGCTGAAATAGCAGGAAAACGTGTTAGCAGCCGTCAAATTTTAGAATAAAAAATTTTTTTTTTTTTTTTTTTTTTTTGGGGGGGGGGGGGTTCCATACAAGGTAAGCTTTGCTTTTTCGCCTCTCGAGGAAGACCGGCGCCGCTGTCTGTAAACCCGAAATTTTTTCGGGCATTTCGGGTTCTGCCCCCCTAACTGTCATCGACCCCGTACGCCTATGTACGTCACAGTTCATCGTAAACATCACGTGACATGTCAATATCGGATCAAAAAATAAAGTAATAAATGTCGATTTACTTAACGGAAAGATTTTCATATCAACATCTCATCTCATGCCGTGTTTAAACAAAAATGATATTTGTCCCGAAAGGTATTAATTCTGCAAAACTGAGTAATGTATAATAACCAATAATTTTACTGTAGTGTCAATTTGTGGTTCTTGCTGACAGTTGAAAAATGGATCGATTTCTAGGTTAAAAAAACGCGCATTTGTACGTCAGGCCAAAACAATTTCATTTTCTGTTTTTCGGGATCTTGATAAATGAATTTCCATATGAAAGATGTTTTGTTTGAAATGTTAAAGCTTAATATTTTTGAATTCTGTTTTGAAATTAGTCCTTTTTCTGAAGAAATGATAAGATTTTTTTTAACAGGTGTTCACAAAGAACAAGTAATTAATTTGGTGTGACCTGACTGCTGGAACTTAAGTAGTCGAATTCCATACAAATTGTGTTAGTTGGCAGCATGGAATACTTAATTTCGTGAAAGACATGTTAATCTAGCTGAAAATTTTCTCTTAATTTTTTTACTGCTTTGCTATTGACTTGATTTTACTTCTAAGAAAAACGCTGTTTTGATTAAAGTGGAAATCGACTTAAAGAGCTAAAGCTTTGATAAAGGTCATTTTTCATGACAGATACTTTATTAGTAGCAAATTAATCTAAATAAAGCTAAACCCATCTTCGTAAATCCAGGGGCCTTATGAATATTACTAACTGACAACATGTCAGCTAGCTGCAATATTTGTGAGCCGTGATAATTGTCTTATTCACAGCTTCAATTGATACACTATTCGAGGCTTTGCGCAAGTAAAATTAGGTTCAGTTGCAAAATTTTCAAGACATATCATCACAGTCTGCATGGAAATAAGTAATTATGTTACAAATAGTAAAGAGTGGAACACTGAAATCTTAATCTTATCTTACCGAACAGTTTTTCTGTATTATTGAGATGACATGAAATCACGTGCGTGCTCTAATTCTGGTTCGGCAGCCATTTTAAAATGAATTGGTTTATTATATGTTAAGCCTTGTGCAGTACAGTTTGGGGCCAGTTTAATTAGAAATTAAGGGGGTTATAGGCTAGTAACCTTTTTGTAGTTAAAAAAAGGGGGGGGGGGGCTTAGACGCAGGAAGAGTTTCGTATGTTTTGGTCGATTGGCTTGCGCTTCTGAGAAAACGCACAGTACAGCAAACTGTGGTTAAACACAGAGGATAATCCTTGAATTTACTTAAGCTTCGATATTTATGGTAAATCAACAGCAAGTAACGACAAATACACAAGCTCTTTCGATCAAGTCACGTAACAAACAAGGATGAGTAAAATATATTTTTGCGGCTCGCTCTTGTTCCTTGAGATTAAAATATTTTGAGAGGAGTTTGAAGCAAGCTTTTCATAGATAAATTAGTTTGAATATACTTTTATTCCAAATCACACAGTTTGTACATGGGAGAGGGGTGAGCATCTTAAAATTATGCGGAGCCGCGGTGGCTCAGTGTGTAAGACGCTGGTTCTGTAACCAGGAGGTGTCGTGTGCTGTTTCGGTGTTAGCCGAGAAATTTTCTCAGTATTTTCCGGCAAGAACAGTGTCTAGTCTTTGAGATGGGACAAAAAGCCCGATGTGTATGTAAAAGAACCCTTGCCGTCAGTAGGTCGTGGTGCCGCTGTCCGGGCACAATTTACCCAATAGCGCACCTCATGGAGTAAGCCCGTCTACATTAGCCCGGTCGGTGCTGAAAAGTAAGACGTTATAACCCCGATTCATTTCATCTTTTAATATTTGTCTAATTTATCTAATCAAATAAGTCTGTCTGGACAATAGATAATACTGGAGTTTATTACTAGAAAATATAAGTGATATGGTCAATGTTATTGTGCAGTCAGATATAGATTTGTTTTTGGATCATTTCTATCGGTGGCGATCAAACATATTCCCAAGGACTCTTATCACAAATGATATTCTGAAATTTCAACACAAATTATATTTAAGAGTATTGGATACTCCCATAATCAGTTTTTATGTAAAAGCATTTAGTCTGGGCTCATATCAATACCAGACATAATATTTTGTTCAATTATCAATTATTAACACTCAATCTGATTAAAACACAGATCCTATTTCGTTTCGTTTTTTAAAGTTCAAAATTTCGTTTTACTTGTCTTTACTACACTAGGATCTGGAAGAGTTGTTATATTACTGGCGTTTTGGTTGAAGTGAGGGACAAGCCATTGAAACGGTCTGTTACGGCGACTTATTCGGGTGCCATGAACGGAACTGTGGGTAAACCACTAGAAACGTCAAAGCAGATTGATTAATCAATGTCTGACGTCATCTGGTCAAAAGCCGCTCATACGACCCTGACACGATCTTCGGGTACAACTTGTCAGATCTCCATGTAGTGTAGGCCATAGAAAGTATAAAAAAACGAAACGAAATACAGATCTGTGTTTTAATCAGATTGATTGACACTGTGCTTTATTTCAAAAATAAAATCGTCCCATTTTTTGATTAAATTAAGATAACATCGGTGAGCTGTCAAAATTGCGTATAGTGGTGTATGGCAAGGCAGATATTTTTTAAAGGAGGAACGAAAATCCTAATATCTCCGTGGGAAATTAACGTATTATCTTGAAATGTGGAGATGATGTGGGGTTTAATGTCCTATTTTACTGCATTGATTGGGGCCATGGGGGAAGTTTTCCGAAACAGCGGTAATACAGCTTACTCTTATTTCGAATTCCAACTGTCAAGGGATCTGTTACGTGCACGTCAGTGTGTAGGAGTGATATATTCAAACGTTTTTTGTTCTGTTTTTTTAAATCGGGTAAATTTGTGACCTCTAGAGGGACCACAAGCTGAAAACGTGATTTTTCGTACAATCAAGGGCCATAATTCAGGAAGTTGCGATCCGACATACGCCAATATCGAAAGGAACAAAGATCTTTGGGATATAAACATAAATTTCAAGTTTCATCAAAATCAGATGACAATTGTGACCTCTAGAGTGTCCACAAGCTAAAGACATAATTTTTCGTGCAATCAGGGACCATAATCCATGAAGTTATGGTACAATACATGCCAATAATTGTCGAAAGGAACCGAGATCTTTGGGAGATAGATCTATTTTTCAATTTTCGTCAAAATCGGATAAAAATTGTGACTGTGTGGCGTATTCCCTCTTTATTAACCCGGAGTTGTGCAGAAACGTAGGATCACGCCCATTTCATTTCACTGTCTTAAGAGTCGTGCTTGAAATATTGTAATTCTTGCCGATGGAGAGAAATAACCCACAGTGTGTGTCTATCTTTAAACCGGATAAATACACTATTTTAATTTTCTGTAAAAATGATCGATGACCGTCCGTTTGTTGTTTATCTAGACCTCCTCAATCGTCAAATCTCAACAGATACTTCAACCCGTTTTTCCCCCGTTAGACCTATTATAATAACGATCGTTATTTTCGTTTGTTTATTTTTACAGAAATTAATGAACGGTTGTTGGTGCCAAGAACCATTCCACAGGCCAGAATTTTCTGAACTCAGCAAACAATTGTTGAAAAATGTAAGTGGTTGGATTATGTATTTGTCAGTCAGGGTCTCACGTAGTTTAAGGGTGTAACATAGGGGAACAACTAGGGTCTGACGTAATAGAACAAAGTCAAGGTATGGCGTAGTTTAAAGGTGTAACATAGGGCAACAGCTATAGGGTCTGGCGTAATAGAACAAAATCACGGTCTGACGTAGTTTAAGGGTGTAACATAGAGCAACAGCTAGGGTCTGGCGTAATAGAACAAAATCACGGTCTCACGTAGTTTAAGGGTGTAACATAGGGGAACAACTAGGGTCTGACGTAATAGAACAGAGTTAAGGTCTGGCGTAGTTTAAGGATGTAACATAGGGCAACAGCTAGGGTCTGACGTAATAGAACAAAATCACGGTCTGACGTAGTTTAAGGGTGTAACATAGGGCAACAGCTAGGGTTTGACGTAATAGAGCAAAATCAAGATCTGGCGTTGTTTAAGGATGTAACGGTAATAAATCCTCCATATTTGCTTGCCAGAATAAGAGTTAGACATTGAGGATTTTAAATTAGGTCTAATTTTATTTCTTTTTCATGTTTATGTTGTTTTTAGTTACATGACAGCAGGGAAGGGAATAAAACACTTTATCCCTCAATTTGACGGAAATTTGCTGTTTAATACTGAATATTCCATAGAAATACATAAAACACGTAATTTGAAGAAATAATTCACACTTTTAACATAATTTCTCAACAAAAAACCCCCCATCGATTAACTGAAAAAAAGTGTTAAACTATGGAATTCGGCCACATAAAAAAATGATATTTTTTACAGTGTATGTATTGTTGTGCAATTTTCCTGTATTGTACGTTATTATTTTTTTAGTTCCCACTTCATAAACGCCACAGCTCCTCGGAACCGGAAAGATTACATACACTGGGAAAGAAACACTTATAAAAAGTGCAACGCTTATTCTGATTGGTGGATATTTTGCGTGGGACCAGAGAGCTTAAATTCTGTTTTTCTTTCATAAAACCAGTTAGATCAAACTTGATCGTCGTTATACATTCGGGGACGTAATTATTGTGATAAACGATTTTAATCCAATACCAACGAATCCCAGTTGCCATTCTAAAAACAGGAAGCGTTAAGCTTTAGCTTTTTGAAAGATAAAGACGCCACCTGTGGTGCGGACAAATAAGATGTTTTTAGCTATATGCGGATATTTCCATAAATTTTGAAAAGTGACAGTTTGGGTACCATCCACTTGGATGGTACCCAAACTGTCACTCTTCAAAACTTACTTAAAAGTGGATGGTACGCAAACTGTCACTCTTCAAAACTTATGGAAATATCCGCATATAGCCAAAGATGGTATTAAAAAGAGGCAGTGTGCTTAATTGAACAATTATATAACTGTGTTCACAACAAGTCAGGTCGTTAAAATATCCCAAAAGTAAACACGTGACATGTTGACATTTGTGAGAAGCTCGTGTTAAAATAAAGTATAAGTGACATATTGAAACTACATGTAGTGAGACGTTGGCCTGCCATATTGCCGTTAGTTCTGAAAATCGTAACTGACATTGGTTAGACCCTAATTCTATAAAACGTAAATGACATATTGGAATTAGTTACAAAAGACGTAAGTGACTTGTTAACATTAGGGAGACTTTGATTCTATCAAACGTACGTGACATGGTGACATTAGTGAGACGTTAGTTCTAAACGAAACGTGCGTGACATGGTGACATTAGAGAGACGTTAGTTCTAAACGAAACGTGTGTGACATGGTAATATTAGCGAGGCGTTAGTTCTATCTAACGTGCGTGACATGGTGACATTAGAGAGACGTTAGTTCTAAGCGAAACGTGCGTGACATGGTGACATTAGTGAGACGTTAGTTCTGAACGAAACGTACGTGACATGGTGACATTAATGAGACGTTAGTTCTAAACGAAACAAAAGGAATGCGTTAGGTCTAAACAAAACGTAAGTTACGTATTAACATTAGTCAGAGCTTAATTATAAAAAAAACTACGTGACATGGTGGCAATAGTGGGGCGTTAGTTCTAAACAGAACGTAAAGGGGACGTTAGTTCCAAACAAAACGTAGGACAGGCGATTTCTAAACAAAGCGTAAGGAAAACGTTAGTTCTAAACAAAACGTAAGACAGACATTTCATATGAACATTAGTGATACGTATTAACTGTCAGGCATGACGTATTAACCAAAAACAGACATTCAGTCTGGAATCTAAGTGCCAGGCGTTTTAAAAAAAAAAAGACGTCGAAGCGTTAATCTTAAAGATACGTACGCGACGTTTATAGCTCTAATACGAAGTAACAAGCATGTTAAGCTTACTAATACGCCCGTAAATGAAACATTAATCTAATGTGTGGGTTTTCTTAAATGTACGTTGTGTTTACTCTTCTACAAGGACTTGAGCACGACCTTAATCATAACAAGGCATGGGTGTGATGGTCCTAAAACTAATGTAAATGTTAATGGTAAAGGGACGCTGGGATGTTAAATCTTACACACACGTAGACACAGTATCCATATGGTTCTAATGTAAATGAGGCGTTAATCTTCAAAGGACGCGGTGTGACGTTCTTATAAGGACGAGGTGTGGCGTTCTTAAAAAAGACGTGGGTGTGGCGTTCTTAAAAGGACGCGGTGTGACGTTCTTATTAGGACGAGGTGTGGCGTTATTAAAAAAGACGTGGGTGTGGTGTTCTTAAAAGGACTTGGTGTGGCGTTCTTAAAAAGGCGTGGTGTGGTGTTCTTAAAAGACGTGGCCTGACGTTCTTAAAAGAGGCGTTATTTTTATTTTTTTTTTTTTATTTTTTTAAAAACATGATGTGGCGCTTTTAAAAGAGAACGCGGTGTGGCTTCCTAAAAAGACATGAGTGACTTTCTTAACTGAAATGAAATGTAATGGAGTTTAGACGGGTCCGTCTTAAAGAAGACGAGAGTGTGACGTTTAATAAAACGTTGTAACGAGGTGTGAATATCGTTGACGTGTTAAACACTATTAATCCAGCCATGTATTTATCTTTAATCAACGATGAAATTATACCACAAAATAAAATACTGGACAATGTTTATTAGAAAGATCAAATGGTGACGCGAACACTTTATTACTCTGTGAGTCTGACTCTAGACGATAACGATTCTTAGAGACTTTACGTCGATGCCATTGCCATAATATTATTAATTATCTGAAAGACCAGACAGAATAGAATTTTAGTCCACTCATATTTTTTCAGGAAAGTGTCGTAACGACAATAAACACCAGTTTTATTTCATTCCTGTCTCTTTCAGTTACAAAAACTGTAGACTTACTGAAAATAAATTGATTATAAATAGAAATCTCTTTGGTGTCAAGCCACGGTTGTCACTTGGTAAGTGAAATGATATCAATTTAGGTTAACCGTTCAATTTGCATAGGCGTACGAGCCAAGGGACAGGGAGGGGGGCGGGGAATTTTTCCACTATGGTTATGATATGATCCACTTCACGCCTTAGTCCAAGCCTTTCTAATTTACATTTCTATCCTTCCATTATGCTAGTAAGGTTACATTTTTTTGGTTTTCCGTGTGTTTTTCAGCTAACAAAAACAGCTTTCAACTGCTTTAAACTAATCTATTTCGTTATGTGTTTGTATCACGTCTGTGGTAAAGAGGGATAATGTACCTAAAAGTTTGGGAATTTCAGATTAATCTAGCAACGGCTAAATGCTGAAAACTCACAGTCGTTGCTTCAGGAACATAGGGTACAGCTCACGTGAATGATTCCGATGTATGTCGGTATGACTGTGGTCATGGCAAACGCCGACAACCTATCAATGACATGACACCTTTTTCCAACATCAAAAAGGTACGGCCATTAAAATTCGGAAACGATCCAGCTGAACATCCCACAATGTTATTCTCGTCTTTGACATTTGTCATTTTTTTCCAATATTATTTATTTCTGATGAATTAATTGATATGATATTATTGTTGAATGTTGTTGGGTTTACTTTTTAAAAAATAAAATAAATCTTTAACCAAAAATATATTTTGTCAGTAGACATTTTTTTGTGAAAATTACGATGATCACAATGTGGGCAAAGAGAGAGAGAGAGAGAGAGAGAGAGAGAGATTGTGGTTATATAACGCCCACTCGACACAAATTAGGTCACTTCGGTACTAATATATTGTACACGTTTATTTCTTTAGCAGCAGAGGAAAACAGGGGACCCAAAGAAAACCCACGAGGTTGGACAGGCAACCCCACTCCCTGGTATCAAAACCACGCCAATTGACTCAAAGGCCAACCTTATTATCTAAAGTGCTCAAGTTAGACCTATTTTTGGACAACCAACCAGATCGAACAGAACAGCCATGAAATGAAATGAAATAGGGTCTAACGTCCTACTGTTCTGCTCCTAAACTGGGCTAATGAAGACGGGCATACGCCATACAGTGTGCTATGAGGGAAATTTTGCCCGGGCAGCGGCGCTACGGCCTACTCTTATATCGAATTCCAACTGTCAAGGGATTTTTTACGTGCACGCCAATATGTACACGGGACCTCGGTTTTTCGTCCCATCCGAACGACTAGACAGCTGTCCTTGTCAGGCCCTCCGCCCTGCTTCACTGACAAGGGGAAATCACGCCGGAAAATCTGGATGAACGTTCTCGGCCAATGCTGGGATCGAACACCCGACCTCCAGGCTAGCGAGCCAGCGTCTTACCCACTTAGCCACGTGATCCCCCTTTATGTCTGAGAGTCTTGTTTCTACTCTGATCGTTATCATTGCTACAGGGAAATATCTAAATAATTGATAAATAATGAATCTCTAAAAGGCATTTGGTTGATGACATATCAGTCTATCTCGTGTTGAAAGTAATCTAGCACGTGGCGTCTGCTATTTAGAAGGAAATCACCTGCTCTGTTAGGACTCTGATGTGTCAACAAACATCCGGCGCTCAAAGCAAAACCGTTTGTGTGAGTGTCTTGCTCCGAAAAATTACGATAATGTCGTTTCTAACTCGTCTGGAAGTCTTCACATAATTACATAATCAAAGAAAACTCGTCCGCACTGGCGTGGTTTTTATCAGTCACTGGTATGTAATGCGGCTGTTCTGTGCACCGGAGAGATTAATTAAAAAAGATATCGTTGTACCAATAGCTGCATTGTGCCCCTGTGGCTGTAAGGCTTCAAAGGGTGGGTCTAGAGTGCCAGAGAAATGTCGAGAACTAAAAGATTATTTTTTTTTTAAAAATGTAAAAATCGCCCGCACGTACCCCCCCCCCCCCCCCTGTAACGCTTTGACCCTTTCTTCAATGTCGGATTAATGTGCATGGGGATCCAGTCGTGCCGAATTAAGACCTATAAGAATATATTTTGACCCCATATATACAATTGAAAATGTAAACAATTATAAACCATAAACAATCCGTTAAACACGGGGGGTTGGATGGCCGAATGGTTAGCACGTGCGTGCTGTATCATAAAGCATGTCATCGAGTCAACTGGCGTGGTTTCGAATCCCCGGTTGTACGTGACAAGGAGTAGGGTCGCCTGTCCAACTTCGTGGGTTTTCTCCGGGTCCTCCGGTTTCCTCCCACGGCTAAAGACCCCTACGCGCAAGCGAATTATGAAAATAAAATTGAACCATATGTTAGTCCCGAAATGACCTAGTTTGTGTAGAGTGGACGTTAAACCCCATCTCTCTCTCTCTCTCTCTCTCTCTCTCTCTCTCCGTTAAACACGTGGTTAGAGTTTTTCTGTGGTTTTATATACTCTTCAAAAAGAGTAGGGGATATTGAAATGCAGGTTGCGATATGATAAATAGTCATGGAGACTTGACATGCTTTGAGAGTATGTTCACAGATGAAGAACTTATCGCCCCAACAGAACCACTGAGCTGCACATGCGACACACAATAGCCCCATACACGTGGGAGGGTTCATTGTCAAATTTGACACTTCAAGGAAGGGTTGATGAAAACTGTCGCGTGCTGGTTTATCTATCAATGTTTACTTTCCTACCACTTCTTGCATAAGATTTACTGTTTAGCGTATCTTTGCTTTAGTGTGTTACGTTTAATTTGATCGGGAGACGTGTTCGTCGACGTCAACGTCAACCGACAAGACTACAAGAATTGGCCGTGGCACTGCAAGAGGAGTGGGTC